AAAGTATAATAAATTGTAAGGGCCGTATAAATGGCATTACAAAAAGATTACGAATTATTGATGGTCATCGTTGATCTATACGTGCGCTTTTGTCGAGCGTGTGTGACTTCAGTGATGTTTCGGAACCAGGATTCCTAGGCCAATTGGTACATTTGCCAACCTTATCACACATGCATAAATATTGTTTGAGCTTCTGAAAGGGTCTCTGGAGTCTTCGGTACTTGTGACCAGCAAGTTCGATTCCCGTCTGCGACACCTTTTTTGCAGGGAGGAAAACGATGTTTTTTGAAAAGTAGAGAATGTTTGCGACTAAGAAGCTTATTTCTTACATTCCACACTTTTTCAAATTGGACCAGCCTCTCTTACGACCCCCCCCCCCCGCCGGTGCCCCCTTTACGACCCCCGTTGCGACAGTCGCATCACACGCTTGACCCTGACTGCAATAGATAGTGTGGAGAAAACCGCAATTGAGTTTATTTTTAACAGCCGAGCGGCAACAGAGTTGGAAAAAACATTTTTTGTAGATGTTGTATGTTTTTTCTTCTTCAGAAAAACCGCTCCAAATGAAGAGAATGTAAATATATTACCTTTCTAGTCATTTTTGAACAACTGTATCAATAATTAATAATTCTTCTCCGTATGAATGCCTGAATATTGCAACTTGGTTTTGTTCGCTAGGTGAATCTGTAAAAGCGTTCGTTGTCAATTTTTCAATAGTGGCCGCTATCAAGATTTGCACGACTGAGTTGCAAAAATTGTGCTGCCAGCTGCACTTGAAGTAGCTCTCGCGACTGAAGCGTATTGGTTCTTTCCACTTGACGAAAACTTCACAAATGGCAAAAATGCTTTTTTGTCGAGAACGTCCACAAACCATTTTTCAGAACAGTCGCTCCCTTGGCAGTGCGCTGAGGCGCCGTGACGAGCTGAACGCAATGCTTTTTGAGCTACTTTTCCGTCATCCAGAATCATTTTTTTCGAGAAATTTTCGTAAAAAATGTGCTTTGGTTCAACAATTCTTTCCGTAGAGTCTACGAGGACTAACTCCCTCTCACGTGTCAGGAACGCACTAAAACGTTTTGGTTCTGTTCGACATGTTTTTTTTTCAAGATCGCTTCAAGTGAGGTACGAGAGCATTTTAGATGACTTGAAAGCAATAGTTTAGAAATAGAAAATCAAAAGTGATATAAAGTGAAGGTTTTATAGAAAATAGAAAAGAAAGAAGAGCAGAACAATTAACGAAAGCAAAAGAGACTCTTGAAAACCTGTAAGAAAACCGCATGAGTGGGAAATTTTTTATTTGGCGGCATTTCAAATTGCAAGTCCTCGCTCCGAAAGCAGGCGATCCACAACACGGGAGGAAAACGGGAAAAAGCTAATTTCTTTTTAAAGGTTGAACAACCATGTTTCGAAAGTGATGACTATCATGTAGAAGATAAGCAAGAAAAGAATTAGATACGAAAACGCTCAGTTTTGTTTTTACTAATTTGATGAGCACGTAGGCTTCTAGTTTTTTATGAATTAAATTAAATTCTTTGAATTCTTAGGCCCGCGTTGTCTTTTCTGTTAGCTGGAACGTTCTCAGGCAATTCATGGAAACTTACCGAGGACAAGCGATTTTGATTTGCCCGAGAGTTTTCATATAGCACAAGTGAATCGAAGCGCAAACGTGGGAATTTCCCGATAGCTTCGACGTCAAGCACAACGCGGTTAGGAACTTCCCGGAAATCATCGAAAATTTTCCAAAATGCAGAATTTTGAGGACTTCAAAAAGTGATCTTCTAAAGTTTCGCATTTCGTAATACTGCCACGTCACTTAATGCGTATGCCATACGTGATCACAGCATTCTAATTTTTTGTATAATGCTCACTCAATATGTAATCTACAGTAAATGAGGTGTGCTTTCGTTGACTTTTGAATGTCTTCATCTTCGTTTTCATAGCTTTTTGTTGTTTCCTTTCGCAGTCCGAGTTGTGAAGTTTTTGTGTCTTTCAACGTTTTCTTTCATGTTTTTTTGTAGCTCCAACATCTGGTCATGTTAAATTGTAGCGTGAATTTAAGAAGCTGCTCTATAGTACAAAATCCGCTCAAAACCTATGGTGCATGAAAAATCCAGTCTAAGATTTCTTTCTTTAATTGTATACAGTTTGCAATGTTTATGTATGTACTCTTTGTTGTTATATGTAAGAAATTTCTCCCTTTAGTGTTAGTGAATCTATGTAAAAAGTTGCTGTCCGAGTGGGTAGTACAGATGAGTGATTGGTAAAACTCTAAGTTAAAAAATTTCTTGAGCCAATTTCCGGCTGAATAGCTGAATAGTCTTCACAAGATATACAAGCCACAAGTCTCTGTTTGTTCTTCAACCGAAAAGTTTCTAGAGCTGTTATCCCTGTTGCAACTCTCTTTGCTTTCTAACGCTCACTTTTTGTATGTTCATAGCAATTGCTAGGTTCCGTCTTATCTGAATTTACCCAAATTTCAAGTGATAAAGTATTGCATCGTCCCTCATTTATTCTCTGGTGACATTGTTTTCATCAAATATTTACTATTCTTGAACGACACTTCAAAACGCTGCTCTTAGTGGTTTCTCAAGCTCCCATTCACCTTAAGTATTTTTGTATCTTACAAATTCACCACGAAGCCTTCTTGAGTAAGTCACTGTTAATCCTTTCATAATCCTTCTATTAGGTTGTAACATAATAGAAATAGAAACAGAGATAGAGATAGTTATATACAAAATGTGGTGCCATGATTTGTTTAACATGGAAATCAATTTTGCAGTGAACTAATTTAACTCCGTTTCGTTCTTGTCCTTAGAAGGAGTAAAGGAGCTCAGAACTCTCCCCGGAACTCATCAGTAAGGAAGGAGAGTACAAGAGTCCTGTGTATTTCAAAATAGTTTTAGTATAAAATTTTGTTGAATGTTGTTGAAATAGATGAAGTTCAACAACTTACAATTTTTATACTCCGTCTTTCATTATATATAATAATAATATATGATATACTATATATATTGATCATATACTATAAACTATAGTAGTGACCAGGGTAAAGCGGGGGGTGCGGCACGCCGCAGGGGGGGGGGGGGGGTCGCAAGGGGGGGTAGGTAGGGGGGGGTCGTATCGACCCAAGGTCAAAAGCGGTTTCTAAGGGGAAATGACTGCAGCTAAGTTCTTAGATGTGCCACGCTGTTGAAATCCTGCAAAATTCAAGTTCAACGACACAAACTTGCAGATACCGTATGCCTACCTAGCCTACCGTACCTCTAATTAAGCATAATTGTCGTAATCCGCGTGTCGAATAACCCCTATGCGCCAAGTTTCAGCGAACTCTGAGGTCTCCGAGCAGTAAACAACCTTGTATAAAGCAGTAATTTAAAACATGATTAACTTCATCTAAACGGTGAGTAAGCTACCTCTTCTTGCACTCAATGCAAAGCACTACTCCTTCTTTGTCCACCTCAGGAATCCCGCTTCAGAAGACCTCCAAACTATTGAATTAGAAGCCAACCAAAATCGCCTTTAGCTTTTGATCGCTGTGCTTTCACCAAATATTATTTAGAAAAGACAGATCAGGCTCCAAACAGTCCTATGGAATCTACGAGGTTTAGGCTATTGATTCATATAAATATTGTCCGCTAAAAATGTTTTTTTGATATAGTTAATGGCCTGCGCCCCCCCCCCCCTCAAAACCTGCGGCTGCCGCAGGTTTTGAGGGGGTGCCGCAGGCCATTAACTTACCTTCAAAACGCTCAAACGAAACCCTTTTTTACACTATTCTATTGAGCCATCCTTCTCCTCTTCGTAGTAGCATTTGCCCTCCCAAGCGCGCCCTCTTAGTAGAGATACGGTGGGTTTTCTGAACCCTACTCACTGAAGCACCTAGTCCGACAACCGCCGAAAATATTGGTGTACGGTAGGATTCCAAAAACTGCCACCACACCAAGGGCGGAAGACAAGACAGTTTGAAATTCGCATCAATTTTCATACCATGTTTCTATCTTCCTATGATTTCTATGTTTCTCTGTTTCTGTTTCTATCCTCTTTTATTGCAGTGTCTGTCTATTGTCTGTTTGTCTTTTTATCATTCAGTCGTTTCATGTACAGGGTAAATGCAGAGCTAAGCGTGGTCGCTGTTTCAGATCCATGCTTGTTTACCTCTATATTTAGATCTGTCATGTCAGTGACGTATTTTGAACTTTGCAGAAAGGAAGATACAATTCAAAACACTTTTCACTCTTTAATCACTGACTACTTGCAGATGTTTGGACCACAGAGATCTGTTCCCGGTACCCATATTCTGTCTTGGTCATCCGCATTTTCACATGACATGCTGTAACTACTCATTCTGTGATGAGGAAATATTTATGAATGTTGGTCATTTTAACACTACATGCTTCGTAAGATTTTTGAGTAATTTATTTAGGCCATTGCACGGATATGTGCTTTTTATGCCTGCAAAATTAAGTTCCTCCAACAGACTTTGCCTTAGGGATAAGGTACGTACACTAATTTGTAGTAAGTTGTTGTAGGCAATGGCTGTAAATGTGTATCGGTAGTGAGAAATTTCCGAAGTTTAGGCATGCGATGAAATGCTGGCACAACGAGTTGAGGCTAATCTACACTCAAAGGCAGCATCTGTAGAGGACACGGTACTTAGCCGAGTTTTTGTTGCATTCCCGACTCCTAGAGACGATAAAGTGAGTTTGTATGTTCAGTGGCTGCGACTGAAAGAATTATTTTGAGGTTCGTGCACCTTTTATCCCTCCTGCTGTGTTGCAGCGAAAGCAACGCATGCAAGTTGACAACAGCTCCAGGCGTGATGAAAGTCAGTTTTTTCTCTTACTTCACATTTTTACCGAGCAATCATTATTACCAACCACTATCAAGATACACGGAAGTTTGAACGTTAGTTGGAACTAGAATTGGAAGACGAGTATATCTTGGATCTCAAGAAACACTATCTCTTCAAGAATCCAGAGGAGAAGTATGATACTGTTTCTGAGATCTGGGAGGGACACAATATAGCTGATTTTGTTGATCCGGAAATTGAGAAGGTACGTATGTTGCTGAGTTGGGGAGTCAACCCCATATTGATCTTTTAGAAACTGCCTGATCTGCTAGCTGAAGAGGAGTTGCGTGAGAAGGCGGGAGAATACGACTCTGATTTGGATAGCGATGATGAAGAAACTAAAGAAAAACTGGAACTAGCCAAGCAGATTAGAGAGAAAGAGAAATTGATGGCACTAGAAAATCACATGAATAAGTCAAAAGCGGTTTGTTTCAGGATTTCAATTGCTAGGTGTATTGTACTTTGTACGATTTACTCGGATTCTAGGAAAGCCAAGTTTCGCGATTGAGTGTACGTAAGCAAGAAAGATCTATGGGTCGATTGGAGGAGCAGATGCAAGAACTAGGCGTAGACGTGAATCTCATTCCATTTTGGATTTCTTGCTTGTTTTTTTTTACTCATTTGGTTGTTCTGTGAAGTCTACAACTTTTCTGTGAACACTACAACAATTCAGTCTAATATTCAGACAGTTGCTGTAGTGGGCCCTTTGCCCAGCTGGACTTTCTTATTAAGCGCGGTACCTAAATATCTGCTTTACATGCATTAAGCCCAGCAACGGCCCATGTGCGTGAGCTGGCTATCCGCGCACATAGTTGCTGTCATGCTGACGGTGGCCCGCACTCCTGTATGGGCTCTTGAACTCATCACTGGCGACCCGCGCTCTCATGCGGACGCCATGAATTTAACAGCAGCTTGCTTATCCACATGTTTAGTTGAAGTGTATGTCATGAGGTGCGATTTTGATTGCTAGCCGGTCATCAAATGATAAAATTTGTGTTCTACTGCGCACAAATGTAGTTTTGGGAAGATGTATTAGATTATCGCAGAGGTTGTATTCAAAACATGGATATTGACGCTCAAAAACCTCTAAAATGCAGCTCATACCAAAATCGTTAACATTTCACTCAGTTTTTCATCAATCCGCGAAACTCAGCAAGTGGCATGCTAAACAGCTAGTGAGCCAGAGCACTTTGTTAGCTTTTTAATTGCATACCAGTGAACTGGACTTTTGAATTAATGACGTGTCGTCGATTCGTTGACTGTACGGACTGGACATAACCGCGGAGCACGCGCCGCGAGGTAAAACGTTTGCTCCAATACAAACTCGCCATTGTTAAAATCGTGCTCTCGCAACATTTTGACCGCTCCGCGCGTGGTCCGCAGCGGTTGAGCAGTCCATACGGCCAACGAATCGACGATACATAGATATCGCACTGTTGACGCGTATTCTGATTAGTCCTCGTTGTAAGCGCAAAAGTTACGCCACGCAATAACGAGTTCCATTGCAGCGTTTCTGGGGTGGCAAATTAGAGATCCTATTGGGAGTTGAGCTTTGATAGCGTCCCGTCTAATTTGACCTTTAATCCAAATATGTGAAACGGGTTTAGAGGTTTTTGAACTCTTCGAAGTTGTTCTCCGACATGTTGAGAGGTGAGCGCGCATGCATGTGCGACCCTTTTCGTAGATTTTGTTCGCGAAAAAGTTGCCAGATATTGGGTTTTGACGACCTTTACCCCCGGTGTGAGTACTAACCACTACATATGGTATTCCCGATAGAGTGGACTGAGTCCTGCAAAATTTCAGTCACACTTTGAATAGTTGTATAATAATAATAACCTGGGTGTTGGTTATGGGGTGGAGGGAGGGGGGGGGCTCCTTCGAAAGTTTCATACAAAAATTTTGAAAATTAGCGAAATTTGGACATGGTGAAAACGAGTGGTTGTAATTTCCAGCAAATATCTCGTCACTCTCGCAACGAAGCGCAATGAGAGTTTAGCTGCTAGAAAGAAGAAGAAATCCTGCATCGGACACATTTTGAAGTGTTTATTTATTTTCGTTCTAGCGTGTTTGCCGATGGGTTGAAAAACTGACAAAACTTTTGCACCAACCTGATATATTGATCATATACTATAAACTATAGTAGTGACCATATTGATAGACTAGAGGATAAAATGAAACATGTTAGTGTTTTTGTAGTTGGTTATTTATTATGATGTTAGTTGATAGACTACTTTACTAAATTGGTTGCTTGTAGTAGACGTGTATTGAAATAACTATACTGATTAATGATATGTGCTATTGATTAGGATTGTATGGAATAGCTTAATTGAAGGCTGGTATACGACATATAATACATTAATTAACTATATATTGTGTAAATTTTGATGTAGAATGTGTAATAATCTTTTAATTTTATCGTAATTGTAAAATTCGTATTTATATAGTATAAATATTCTTATGTAAGCATTTGAAAATATTTGTATAAATCATGTTTTCATTGTATCCATTGCAAATAAGTAAGTTTCGTATCTGTAGTATTTTTTTGACAAAATCGTCAAGATAAGTGCAAATAGGGCAACTCTCAAAGTTTCTATGTAAACAATTGCGTTTTTGATGTGATTGGATACACCAGAAGTGATGTGTATAAATCTTTTTACTTGAAAAGGGAAACTATCAGTTTTGTTATACATTTTAGTTGTGATTCTGTTATTAATGATTGTAATATGTAAGTCCAAATAATTACAATGTAGATTATCTATATGAGTAGTTTCCAAACTTAGTTTGTTATCATATACGTTTTTGATTATATTATGAATTGTAGTTCAGTGCGATTGTGTATGATTGATAGACCATCTACATAACGAAATGCAAAAAGGTGTTTATTGTTATTTACTTTATCAACTATATACTTGTATTCATACCAAGATAGTGTCAGGTCTGCTAGATAACAATGGACTAAAGTTACCGCCTTGTGGCACCCCTATTTTTTGTTTAAATATGTATGTGCTAAATCTACAGAAACTGTTATCAAGAATATAATCAATGTAATACAATAAATCTGAAATCGTGTAGTTTCTGTGGCTAGATTTTGTGTTTATATTATCGGTGTAGTATATTTTGTTAAAGCCATTATATGTCAGATAGTTTTTGTTTGCATTTTTGAAGCATAATTTGAGAAGTTCCTTGAGGTTGGTTTTTTATTATGTTATGTGGTAGGCTAGTAAACATATTTGTGAAATCAGCTGAGTATAATTGCATGTTGTTTGTGTTGATATGATAGTTTATCACTGATATTAGTATTGTCTATTGACCAATAATTACATGAAGTTTGTTTTTTTATATTTGATCGCTTGTACATAGTTTTTGAAATGTATTTTTATGTGTTGAAATATACATTGTAATTCCAAGGCAAGAGGTTTAATGCTACTGTGTGTAGCTCCACTGATGAATCTGAATTTAATAGGGTTTTTATGGAGTTTTGGTACACAGTATATTAATGGTATGTTGTTAATATTTTGCAGTGGTAACTTGTTATTTCTGCAAAAGTCAATATGTCTTTTTTATTTGAAACTTCGTTTTTCTTATCAAATGTGATCCCTAATTCTTTCATTATTGTTTGCATGTAGAATTTTTTACAGATAATACCGAAGTTATTACTTGCTTTATCAAGTGGGCAAATTACAAATTGATTTTCAAGGTTTTTTATGTAACTACATTCAAAATTGTAATTTTGTTCGTTTGGATCTTGTTTGTTTTTTAGTCTGGTTTTATAGAGAAGTGGTTTGAATCAAAGTTCAAATTTTTTTTAAAAGAAAAGTTTCTATGTTTATAAGTTCTTCAAGTTTAAGTTTATATTTTTTGATGTAAGTATTCATAATGAGTTGAACTCAGGGTCAAGCGTGTGATGCGACTGTCGCAACGGGGGGTCGTAAAGGGGGCCTACGGTAAGGGGGGGGGGTCGTAAGAGGGGGTAGTTTGGATAAAAACCGTACGATTGAAAGCAGATCAAATAGCAAGCAATTACTACACTTTCTTAACAATAAATTCATGGAATGCCGTGTACCAATGTATCAAATAGAAACGAGTGAACAATAATTTGAAAACATTTGCAAGCGTAGAAATTCGCTTCATTTGCTGCACTTTTGAAAGATTATGACTTGGTTCTTTTTTTTATGGGAATCGCTATTTCTCCCGCAAAATATTGTCTCAAACGGGAATTGAACCCTACTGGATGACTGAAATCCAAAAAATAAACACTCTCAGAAGCTCAAATGCTACTAAAGGCATGTATGTGTGATAAAGATGTTGGATGTACCGATTGGTGTAGACATCCTGCTTCCGAAGGCTCACTGAAGACTCGCACACTCGACAAAAGCGCACACGTAGATCAACGAGGACAATCAATAATTCGTAAATCTTTTTGTAATGTTACTATGCGGCCCTTACAATTTATATGTACTTTGGATAAGCCCTGCTACTGCTGTGCGAAATCTGGTGTTATTTTATAAACTGCGGATTTTCCTATGATTTTATGTATGGTAGCAAAAAATGAGAAAAGGGGGGTCGTATCTGCGCCTGATCTAAATTTCTCCGGAGCTATTGAAGCTTGTTGGCTGCAATTCTGCTGTAATACAAGGCCATCCTCCTACTCTCCCTCATAAAAATTGCAGGCTGTTTTATAACTTTTCTGGTAAGTTACAAAATTTTAAGCTCAAAAATCCCAGTTTTTGCTTTTTAGGATCGCATCTAAATTTGCGAGAGCCTGATCTAAATTTTTTCGAGCTCACTGCCCCTCAAGGGCTGAAACTTTTTCTATGAATAGTCTGGGTACTATGCTACAGAACCTGTTCTCTGCAGCCTCTCAGTCTTTTCCTGGCCTTAGTTACGAATTTTCAAACTACCGTGCTCATGCATGTTTTTGACGTCGTTCTGGACGGCGCTAAAGCGGTTTTTTTCAAGGGAAAAACTGTGGAAGAGGTAAGAACTGAGCTTCTTAGTCGAAAACATCTTTTGTAGTTTAAGAATGTCATTTTGTTCTCCGTATAAAAATTTGTGTCGCATACGGGAATCGAATTTGCTGGCCTGAAGTATGCCTGAAAATTCAAAAGTAAACTTGCAGAATCTCAAACATTATTGAAGGTGTGTATATATGTGCTAGAGATGCTGGCGCACCCATTGGCCTAGAAATTCTGCCTCCGGAACCTCACTGAACTTCTGATGCAGGTGTTTTTTGAGATTGACATTCGTTTAAGCAGGTTACCGCGAGAAATGTGGGCAGGGGAGGCAAGGGGATAGAGGGGGGGGGGTCGTACGGATGGGTACCTTCAAGGGGGGGGGGGGGTCGTGAATGAGGGTCCAGGATCGCATCAACACGCTTGACCCTGGTTGAACTGTTGACTGGATCCAATCTATTAGGTCATTCCGAAAGTAATTTCGCTTTTTTCAAACGGACGCCACATGAGATGGAACAAAGATTTCTAAGAGAACTTGGAAGCATTCGATGCAGAATTTCTTCCTCTTTCTGAGGATTATAAAACTATTGCAGCGCAGTCAATGAGCTTTTGAAAAATTACGAAAGTCTGCGATCCATGTTTTTCGAGATG